TCCTGCCTCATCCTTGAGAGTAATTGGGACTGCAGGTGTTTGCCACTGTTTGGATAGTTGTCTTTGAGTATAAATATGAAGCAACTCTGGGTTTCTGTAGCGTTATTGTGTGAGATTTTTGTTTCTGGAATCCTGTCAACATTTGAAGTTTTTCCTCCACATGAATGTGAGAAAACTAAAACTGAGGGAAAGTGAGTTTCCCAGAGATATTCACAATGACACTTCACTTGTTTTTATTTTCCAGATTTTTTTTCATTTATTTTATTAATCCCCTAGAATACTGGTAAAATTAGGCAGTTAAAGCACCAGTGAATTTAATTTTACAAAGTTTATGTGATTGTTTTAGTTCATCTTTTCATGTTATGACCAAAAAACCTGAAAAAAACAATGTAGAGAAGGCAAAATTTATTTAGCTCACTGTTTCAGAGGTCTCATTTTGAAGATGTTTGATTCTTTTGTTCTGGTCTAACATGTGGCAGATCAACATGGCGGAAGAGTATGATGAAAGAAAGCAGCTCATGGCACAGCACCAGGAAGCAGATTGAGAACCCCACTCACCAAGGACAAAATATAAGCACCAAAGGCAGGGCCTAGTGACCCACCTCCTCAAGCCACACCCTACCTGCTTACAGTTATAACAGTTAATGCACTGATCACATTAAAGCTCTCATAAGCCAATCACTTCATTTCTGAGTTTTCTTGCATTGTCTCATACATGAGCTTTTGGGGACACCTAATATTTAAAACATAACAGTTATCCTCAAACATGTTGTCTAGTGAGAAAAATGAGTGACGAATGACAAAATGGAGTCACCTTCAAGTTTCCTAGCTCAGTGTAAAAAAGAAGGGGAAACGGCACCAATATACACAGGAGTCAGCAAATTAAATACTTGCTCTAAGTTTTTGCTTTCACATTTAAAAATAAATCTTCCTATTTCTAATTTTCAGAGGTGATGTTTTCATGCTGCAAAGGGAGTCTCCAATAATGTGGATCTTAGCTCCTGTCTAGTAAGTAGTTGACTGGGCAAGTATGAAAAGAAAATGATTGCTTTTACAGAGGGAACAGCAGTATAGAATTCTCAGGTGGACATTAGGTCTAGAATTATAGAATTAGAATCTAATTTTAAAAAGTCTCAGATTTTTGGGAGAGGAAATCTGAGCATAGAGAAGCTTTTCTTCTGATCTTCTGAAATATATAGATCAACAAATATATGAAAAAATGTTCAACATCTTTCATAATCAGAGAAATGCAAATCAAAACTACTCAAGATTTTATCACATGACAGTCAATATGGCAGTCATCAAGAATACAGACAACAATAAATGTTGGCAAGGATGTATGGAAAAATGCACAGTCATACATTGCTGGTGGGACTGCAAATTGGTGCAACCAATCAAGAAAGAAGTATGGAGATTCTTTAGAAAACTTGGAATGGAACAACCACTGGACTCAGATATCCTACTCCTCAACCTCTACCCAAAGGACTTAAAATCCACACACTAAAGTAATGCAGCCACATCAGTGTTCATAGTAGCTCAATTCACAATAGCTAAATTATGGAAGAAACCTTGATATTTTTAAATAGATGAATGGATACAGAAACTGTGGTATATATACAAATGAAATATTACTTAGCCTTAAAAGACTAAAATCATGGCATTTGCAGGCAATGGGATGGAGTTAGAGAATATCATGCTAAGTAAAGTAAGCCAATGCCCCAAATCCAAAGGCTGAATCTTCTCTCTGATAAGTGGATGCTGATCCAAGACAGGGAGGGTGGAGACATGGGAAAAATGGAAGAACTTTGATTGGGCAAAGGATAGGCAGGGTGGGCAGAATGTAGGAGGGCAGGAAAGATGGTAGAAAGAGATGGACATCAAT